ATCCAATTCCAAAACCATCGCCAGCTTTCTTAGATGAATATTAAAACATCACCTAGAGTTCGCAAACCCTATGTATGTATAATTCCGGCCCAAGTATCATAGTTCCAATCCACATTGTCAGAATGTATGTATTCACTTGATCCCTGATACCAGACCACTAATTGCGTCATCACTTATTCAATGCGCGGTTCAGGAACACTTCCTACTGATCACACAATGCTCATGATGGTGGTGCACAACTACTATAGTTGGCCAGTTGTTCTTCATTCTTCTATTGTGTAGAACAAGAACTTCTATTCTTCTGTCTAGTTATTCTTTTACATAATGATATGTTGGGCTCATGAACTTTTTGGTGACCGCTTATTGTAATGGGATGGAAATGAATTATGGATTTGTGGCCTGATTTTGGTTATGTAATTTTCGTGGGCACGTTAGTATCGATTCAATCGGTAGGCGATAGGATGGAAAGTACATGTTAGTTATTATTCAAATTTTAGTTTCAAGAAAACAGTCGCTAATTTTGTAATAATTAGCTATCGGATGTTGAGAAATTAATTCTTCATCTTTTTCACTTGAATAATTCTAAATAAAACGTGTAAACAATTAAGAAAATAATTTAAAACTGTGGTAGAAGTATGTTATAATTAATTATTAAAAAAATAATGTACTTTTCCTTGAAACAATGCTCCACCGCCTACGGAAATTGTTGAAAAATTTCCTGTTTGCAAACTCAGTTTTGTACAAACACATAACTTCTAGCAGAGAATCTCGTCTACGTTAATTAGAAGATGTCTCTTGCGCAAGAAGCTAATTTTCTTTTTTATTATGCCTCGTAGCTACCTACATAAAATGAGTATGCCGTCACTGAATCAACTCCTCATAAAAAATTCACACATAATCTGACTCCGGACAATGGAATAGCGGGATGACTCTTTACTTAACAAACCTTCATTTGTCATGCAAGATTATGGAGGATTCATGTTATTATCATATGAGGGAATTTAGTAGCTATCGTATTCCGCTACGTATGGTAGTAGGTATGATATACATAACTGGATTTATGGTAAATAATATGGAGATATCTCAATTAAACACACAAACCAAAGCATACACTTACACTAAACAAGCAACTCTAACGTCTCCTAATTAGAATCATTTAATTTGCAAAGACTATGTCTAAAAACAAAAAAAAAAAATAAGGGCGTATTTTTTTATTAAGAGTTAAAGGTATCGTAACAAAGAGAATGATAACAAAGCTAATTATTGAATATATATATTATGTAGTTCGTATTTTCCAATATGTTTTTGGCATTGGGCCATATTACGATCATTCCTCTGCAGATGCATCTCGATTGCTCTTGAGCTTTTGATCGAGAGCTTTATCTAAAATCGTAATCTGTCTGGCGGTCATGTTAATTAAAAATCTTAAAGTTCCGTCGGGCTATGTACGGTATCTGAGAGTAATCTTTCACATCGCATCACGATTTCGCCATAAAACACCTTATAATCCGTGTGGGTTGTTAAGATGAATTGCGACTAATTAATGATCACGACCGCTAAAGAATTCGTAGTTTAAACGAATTAAATCACGGGTTTAGAAGAGAATAAAGAATTGTGTTTTTGTTCTGCTTTTTCACTATCTCGTTAAGTGGCTTATTTTGTAAGAGACTTCACGACTTCAATGCCATAACTAAAGGATACAATTGCGTTTCTAAAGCAAGTGCATTTTACAGTTTACTACTTTACAAAGAAAAAATGGTTCTAACTGTTATAACAAAAGCTCATTTTGCGCATGCATATATCCATTTAAATGTAATCTGTTCTACTATTACACCGGTCATTTTTCGGATCAGTTACATTTGTAAACGCCGAGTTTTCCATACACTCGGTAGTCATTTTCCCCTTGCAGCATAATGTCGGGCGGCACCCGTTGTGCGTTTTCCCATTTTCCGAAAAATAAAAAAAAACACGAGCAAACCCTAGACATCAAGATCGAGAACACGCAAAGGTGCGTGCACGCGTGCATTATGTGATAGTTAAACTGTATGCGCTCTTCATCGCACTTATGTACACATGTAATATTTATTTTCCTGCTTCAAAGTAATCGCCTTTATTAACGATTAGAACTCTTTGAATATGCATGAGAGCAGTGGACAAAATTTTCGCGTAACATCGAAGGTAATTGATAGAGCTCCTAAGCATCGACCATTATTAGTCATCAGTTTACGACTAATTTAAGCAAATCAGGAACCGTCAATGTAAAGTTTTTCCAGTGCTCCTATGTACCATCATATCGAAGTCGATAGATTGACGCAAAAAATTAGTGCCAACCTTTTTTGGCTCGTGCATATCTAAATGGTCGAGGATGAAGTCAATCATTGTTTTGACTTGCTTTATTTATACAATGAGAGGGATAAAATGAATAAAGATAAGTATTTCAAATTCCGACTTACCCGAGTGTTGGTTTGAAGGCGGCAGCATATCCTGCATTTCCATGACCACAGTGGAATAGCTGTAATAAGGTGCATATCTCAGGGCCTGATAAGGTTCCTGATAATCATCCATCTTTATGTCAACCAGGCGGTCACGCATACGCATCGAGTCGCGATCCAAATGAGGCACCGGCAGAGTTGACATATTGCATCTGATAATGGAAAACGGGAGGGATTTAAAAACGAATCAAGTTTAATATTTGCATACGTGTTAAAAGATTATTTACATGCGCATTAAGATTAAAGAAAAGATATGTAATTGAAATATTATTTCGAGGTACGATGGGCATAATGGATTTTGCATGGTATAATGCGAGCTGTGCAGAAAATGGATATGAATAAGTTGTGGAGCGAGCAATTATTCTTCAATCAGATTTGTTTGTCATGGTAGTTTGATTAATGGTGATGCATATATAAATATAAAGCTAATGTATTTATGAAACTTATCGGGATGGAATCGCTTCATTAGACAACTATCCACTACTTCAATAAGCAAAATGCAAATATTTTAAACAATTCAATTTATGTTCGGAATGATCTAATACTCCTCACTATTTCTATTATTACCTGCTGGTGTAGTCCTCCAAATCGTTAATAGCATACGAAGGATTTTTCTCATTGCTCAAACCACCTCCCAGACAAAGAGTTCCTGCAGCAGCCATTTGCTGTTGCTGCATTTGTGAAGCAGTTAATTGTGGTTGCTGCTTACTTGTCAAAGGACTTGCAAAGCATTTTCTTCTACGATGACGACGTATTATGAAAAATACTGCCACCGATAGTAGAAGGGCTATTGCTGTTAAGACACCTGGATAAAAGAAATATTTTATATATTTCTAGATATGATTTGAGGATAGTTTTATATATTTTTTGTTGGTTCTGTAGTTTACCTATCAGTACAGCAACATATGCTGGAGCTTCTCTTTGCTGAGCAGTTGATATTGGAATTTCTGATCCTGGACTAGCTCTCGATTTCTCGACATAGATATCTCTTTGCGCTGGCATTTCAGTTGAAGGTGGAAGTTCTTCCGTGAAATTATCAGGTGCAACATCTGTAAAACAGAATAAATGATATTAAATTTGGATTAATAGATTAGATTAAGTTTTGAATAATACCTTGAATGTAGTATGAAATTATATCAGGAAGATGATTTTTTTAACCAAGCATTTTGCTGTCGGCGTCTCACAATGAAGGCAACCTCATTAAAAATTTTCTATGAACTATGTTAATTACTAATGAGTATAAATTCGTAGTTTGCAAAATATTAACGATGGAGTTCATATTTAGACGGACAGGCTGGCAGCAACACACAAGTCGGAACTTTAACTAGATAAACTTTTATTCCGCATCACGGCGGGTATCATAGAACGGCGGGTGTATCGTACTCTATCTACAAACTGGTAATTATTTTGTTGCAAAACTTTTCCAGTGAAATGTTTTCAGAGCGATGTCGCTAGTTGTTCTTTTTACTATTCTGTTTTCAATTTTTTTGCTATATACGTTTTTATATATTTTCATTCGTCAGCTGTTTTTTTCACGTCAGGCTTTCCTGCGTTTCGCATTTTTTTTTTCTTTTTTACAACCGTGATCCGCAGTTACACGGCGCTTTGTAATTATTCATTAAAACTTTTATTTCATAACAACGAACAACTCGCCGAAGAGTAAATGTAAAATGTATTGAAATTAAATGCGACATCAGCGAATGAAAAATAAATACGAATCGACACATTTCATATACAGAAACGTATAATTATTTAACATTTTCTTTTAAAATATGTATGATAATTCAAACAAATATATTTTACAAAGTGGTCTATCTGAAAATGTTATTTAATATTTAGATTTATTAAGGAGCTATCCTAGTCTAGAATTAAAAAAGGTCAATCAAAGGTCAAAGGTTGAACTTTTCAAGAATATGTGTACAAGAGATTTTTTTAAAATATAAATTATTTTTGAAGATATAGCAGTTTCAACACGATAATCCTCCAAAATTTGCTTCCACTGCCAAATTTTGAACGCGTTTTTCTCGAAACTGTCTTTTTCGACACGATACCCGCGATTTCTCTACTTTTACTGAACCGATTTACTTTTTTTCCAAGATCTTCTATAGACTTTTCTTTAGTAAGTACTATGCTAATGGTAAATTACTAATTTTACTATTTTTAAACAATTTTACATATATTAAAAAATGTAGTATTTTGCAGGCAGTAGCTTTTTTGTGAAAAAATGGTTGAATTTTAAAAAAGAAATTCAGCAATTCCTTAAAAAAGGATCCCTTATCCCTGAGAAGTAAAAATATTTATGAATGACAAATTAAATAATTTCTATTTTTTAAAAAGAGGCGTTCAGAAAAATTATAAATGAAATTACCTATGTCATGATCTTATACTTATCTTTATTATACGTTATTTTCAAATGGAAATTAGAATTAGGTTTCATGATTTAAATTGAAAAAAATCATTCTGTTAATTAAAAGCGTGGATGGACGTATTGACAATTTTTTGCCAAATATTTTTTTATATATTAAAAACCACATAAATGTGTAGATAACTAAATCGTTTTTAAAGAAGCTAAACGATTTTTGATTTAAATATTTCTATTGATCCGATCCTTTACAATATCAGAATATCTTCATTTCACGAAAAAGACATCATTTAAAAAGTTATTTAAACACTTCCCATCTAACAATGTATGCTATTTAAATCTGAAATATTCATTTGCAAAAGAGTGTTCTTTTGTTGAGAACTTTTCGGTATGATCGAATTAATGAAAAACTTCTGTCGTGTCTTGATAGTCAAATGTACAATGAAATCCAATTTAAAATAAACTTATTCAGAAATATATTTTGAATGATATTCTGTAGGTATTCACCTGAATACTGAATGTAACATTTTTAAAAGTTTGTAATGATATCTCTCGCTTAATTCGGATGTTTTTAATAAAAGTTTTCAGACATAATTCAATTTGAATATAAATATAATACACACACACATACACACATATATATAATATAAATAGAACTTTTAATTCACAAAATACATAATTGGATATCCAGAATCTGAATGCAATGAACCAAAAATAATTTTACCAAAAAAAAATTAAAAAAAAAAACATGTATGAACTCTTGTTCAATAATTTAAAATGCCAATGAAATATAATTTAAACTCTCATTAAAATATCTATGCATATAATGTGATATTGAATACGATGATGTATAGGTATTAATTAAATATCATTTTAAAGTTTTAATGAAATTCTATAAAAGTTTTCATCGCGTACGAAGTTTATATTAAATTATGTAAAATTATTACGAATTTGTTTATCATATATGAGTAACTTGTTTTGGTATCAGTACATGTCAGTACTTTATAATGCAAATTATATAGATTATAGTGAATTAATAAATTAAAATATGATTACATCTTACCAAAGTAAATCCTTCACCATTACAAATATTATTACCCCTAAGTTGAACGACAGATTTTATTATAAAATGCGCTACATTTATCTTCCAAGTTTATGTACATACTGAAATGAAATTACTTATATCCCACAAGTAATATCTTCTGACCCAAATCTTCATCATTATGGTATGCGACTATGATCAGCGTTAATAATAACCGGGAAACCGATAAATTGATCTTATTACTCCTATAAAACGATCATATGACAGCGGGTCATCGATCCACGAACTAAGGGTTGTAATAATTTTCGTTGGAATAGATTTCCAAAATTTCCGATGAATGATTTTAATCAATGGGGAAGTTGATTAATTTTGTACAACTGTGAGGAGCCCACGGAATTATAATTGTATATGAATTGAGATCTGGTTCATTTAAATCCATGTTGATCTGAATTGGAATTATATTGCTCTTATATGATTTCATAACTAAGTTTCATTTCTTCAAAAAAATCGAAAATGAAAATTTTTATATATCTTTACGTTTCAGAGGTTTCTGAATATTTGGCATACCTTAGAAAAAATGTTTGTATGTGTGGTGTGTGTGCGTGCGTGTGTGTATGTGCGGATACAAATTTCGAATTTGTATTTCGTCTCGATGCAGTTAAAGCAGTACGATTGCTTTAAAAAAAGTTCAGAATTTCCAAAATATGTCAAAATAAAGAAAACTTGCCCTACTGGAAGTTAATAAATTCTGTAATGCTCATCAACTGCAATCAAGTTTAAAATATTATTTATTACCGATTTTTGTATCGATATTTCTTTACTATCGCTTATCCCCAGGTGAGGGGCTTCATCCACCAGGTGGAATGCAAGTGGGCGCATTTGATGGGCGCCGATGAGGGCGGCAGAGTTTGGGCACGTTCGTGTTTCATAACTTCCGACATACGCTGCATGTTTCCAGGGTATTATAACCGTGCAGTACCATATTAATCAATACCGCAGAATAATGTGTATGTGTACCTGCCTGCCTACCTGTACGATGGAGTGCAGTACAAAATATAAAATATCAACGTGTTTATAATATGCGGATAGTCGATAGTTCAAATTTTTTGGCAGAAATAGACTCTGTGTGGAATATAGATTTCATGGTAGTTTCACAATATTTTATAAACATTTACATTAAATATTTAGTTACATAGGCGAAATTCTGCATAACATTCTTTTTATTTCTATTTTTTTTTTTTACATGATTTATTACACATAGTAGAACTCGGAAAATTCAATACGTACAAAATTAACATGTTACATTTTTTCATCTATTTTTATGGCTTCATCAGTCGTTTCTCGTTCCGGTGAAAATTCCATATTTTCCATCAAACGTTCGCAATTCATCAAATTTAAATTGCACATGTCGAAATATTTTGAAAGGTATTTGTTCAATAGGTATGAATCATTTAAAAAAATGTTTGCAATGGATATCTATCTTAAAAAATAGTATTAATATTTGCAAATATAGATACAAAATTGTTTACTCGAAAAACCAATATAGCATATTCCAAAATTGAAAAAATATGTTGAATATGGAAAGTGAAAAGTTGTTTTTGGCGTTATCTATATTTACACTTCTTGAGGGATATTCTGGTCTAGATTTTCGGATATTTTCAAAGACCAACTATTCAAGAATATGTATACATAAAGAGTTTTCATAATTCACATTATTTTTGGATATATAGCTGTTTGACCACTACAACCCTCCTCGGTTTCCCTTGAATTTTTTACAGAGTCTTTTTTATAGGCTTCTATTCAGTATTATGAACTACGCCCATCTTCCGATATCACTTTTCCTATTTTCCTTTTTTCCTATTTTTTAAAAAATTCGAAAATAGCAAGAAAAATGTATGACTTTTTTTCCAGACACTTATTTTTTGAATATTTTAACTTTTTCGTTGTCCATACGATAGCGACATTATTATATACTAATAATATATACGTATATACACACTTTTTTCGGATTATTTTGAGAGCTGATATTTTAGCTTTTTTTAAAGTTTTTTTAAAATTTTTTCCATTGGCCTATTTTGTGAGAACCCCCGACTTCGCCACTTTCTACAATTAACACTCCATGACAATTTTTTATATATTTTTTTATATTCAAGACTTTTATTTTATATATTCAAAATTTAAATATAATTACAAATTTAAAATCAGAACATTCATTAATTACGTGTAGCAAAAGATATAGAAAAAATACTGTTCCTGTTTTCATGTCCTTTCAAAAATACGTACCCCTAGACCAGAATACTTAGCTAAGTATTTCTTCTTAATAAATTCACTATGCAAAGTGTTTAACTTATTGCAATTACATGAACATATTGGTTTTACATATTCAGCACTTTTAAACACTTAAGTAATTTATAGAATTCATAAATATGATAATATTTACCGTGCTTTTACGATTATCCAGTATATAATTCATAAATTTAATTAAACCGCCATACGCACTTCCATTTAGCGTAAAATTCTTGGCCGTAAGAATTTTCAGGGATTAACGGATTATTGCGATAAAATTAATACATCAAAACAAAGTTTCGCGTGGGAAACGCGTTTAAACTTTCGCAAAACGCGCCCACTGTCTGTCGTTTCGCAGC